TAGACATTATAGGGGAGTATATCCATGAAATCTCCACTGTATGGTAGTCTAAGGAGATCTGTATAGTGACAAAACCAGTTGACATGCTAAGGCCAAGGGGAAATTTCAGGGGTTCTCTCTCAAGAAAGTTAGAGGCAACTAATGGATGCTGAAGAGGGATAATCAGTTTTGTTCCAGGGTCAAGCTCCCTGAGGGGTAATCTTGATTGAGCAGTCCTAAACACTGGAATATATGAGCATCAATAAATCAACTCAGTTTTTTATATGTATACAAAATAAAGGACAAGAAATTGTGAAGCAGTTGGAGAAGGAAATATTGCAATTATAATGCTCATTTAAAACTCTAAAAATATCAAACAATTTTTAAATACAAAAATGAGATTTTTGTCTCAAAAAAATAAAAATTATGTAAAAATATCTCAGAATTTTTTTCCACATTATTTAAATTACAGCACACTAGTGAATAAGAAAAAAAATGCCTTGGTGTTTATAAATACTAGGGATTTAGGACACAGTTGTTGGACTCATTTAAAAAATTATTTGTAATCATTCTGTAAGTAAATTAATCTTCCAGTGAGTATGAAAAAGCTACATTATACTAGTTTATTCCTCTGCATATTTTCTTTGTCCTCAAGATACTTGCAGCCTAAGTTAAAGAACACTAGGTCTACTTCAACTCTATAATCATCAGGTAAGATTAACAAATGAAGGCATAGGAAGTGTTAAATACATCTAAATATAAACAGTTAGTTTGCTTAAATCAGGTTATTAAATATAGTGTGAGTTTTTCAAGATGTTTGTCACTTTGCAACATTGCTAAGAATAAGGGCAGAAGCTAGTTACAGTCAGTATAGACTTTCATGGCAGAATATTTCCCTCACTATGTATGTATCCTAGGGATATTAGAAGCGCCTCTGGGATGTGAGGATTCTATGATGTGACTGTAAAATTCAATGCCCAGCACAGAGGAAACATCAAATGTTGCTGATATTTTAATCAATGTTTTATTTTTTTGTGTGTTGGGTATATAATTTAAGTAACTGCAGTTTCAGAATTAGCTACTTCCTGATGGTGTTTGCTGTGAATTCTCTCTGACTTTCATTTTCTTTTTTTGAATTGTATTTATTATTTTCATTGTATGTGTATGTGTATATAGCCTATATGTAAATAAGTGCACCTGTGCCATACAGCACCTACAGTGATCAGAAGAGGATGACGAATTCCATGGAACTGGAGTTATGGACTGTTGTTAGCCACCATGTGGGTGTTGGGTATCAAACCTGGGTCCTGTGAAAGAGCATCCAATGTTCTTAACACCAGGAAGTGCTGAACCATCTCTCCCGCCCCTGACCTTCATTGTAAAGTCTACAATGTGCTCTTTGCATTGCTAATGGATTATCTATTTCCATTACCCACTTTGGAGTTATATCTGCTATTCTTGTTTGATATTGCATTAATCTGTTTTCCAGAGACTGTGTTCTGTGTTTTGGGTGAAGTGTGATCTTTTTATTTCTTTCTCTTTTTTTCTTTTTTGGAAAAAACACAACTTTTTAAGCTGCCCTATTGAAAATTAAATTCAAATGGGCTGTTCATTGACCCATCTATTACTCAGTATACAGATCTGAAAAAGCTAGTTGTGGATTACTTGTAAGCACCTGATATTGAAAATTTCAGTATTCTACTTACTTATTATATTTATATGCCCAGAAGTTTCACAGGGAGTACAATGGGTAAATCAATAATGATAATCCTAGTGATGAAGATTCTTCTCATTTTCTTAATTTTCAGGAAGGTAAAATTATGCAGAAAAATGCTACGCTTCAAATTCTTGATATATATTTTCTCTATACATCACTGTGAATAAAAATTATTCAAGGAATCCATTATTTGACAGTCAGTTTTTGCTGATGCCTATGAGAAACACCGATTTTATTCTGTTTAGTCATGAATTTCTAAGTAAATTTAGCCAGTAAATAAACATGATTTAAACATTTCTCAAATCTATCCCTTCTTCCAAATTAAACTATGCGTGGTATTATAACTACACAGTATTTACAATGACTAGGCTGTAAAATTATTTTTTAGTCAGGCTTGATGGTGATTGGCAATAGCTCCATCTACTTTTAGAAGATGAAACAGAAAGAGTCCTTCTGTACAGTTCAGGAGTTTCAAGTAATGCTGGACAATATAGTGATACTATGTTTCAAAAGAATATTTCTGAAAGTAACATTAATATTTCAACTCATAGGTATATAAAGAATAATGGTGTGCAGTAAAGTACAAAAAAATTATCTGTTCATGAAGGATAAATGTTACTACCCAATCAGGTTAGTCCATGCCAGAAAGATTGTAGGATCCCCAAACTGGGGTACCCTACGTTCACGGGAGGCCACACCCCAATAACTCAGTCCTCAAACCAGAAGATGCAATAGCAAGAGGATTTATTTCATCTATAGACAACCTTCCACCTTAATCAAAAGGAGGAAGCCCAGATTCAGCTTACAGACTCGTATTTAAAGACGGAAACCACAAACCACAAGCATCAACAGAAGTGGGAGGGGGATTTTTCGGGTATTTTTCCAGCTTGGGCAAGGAAGCATGAAAAGGTCATCTTTTCTTTTCTACAGCTAGAGTTATTTTCCTTTTATTTCCTTGTACAGTTTCCCAGAATATAGCCTGGGAGACTTAGTTTCAATTTACTTTAATCTGGGGGGCTCTAATTTGATTCCATCATTTCCCCCCTTTTTCTTGTGACAAGATTTTAATCCTAAAATCTACAGATTTTCTGTTCTGTTTAGAGCATGGTATTGCTGAGTAAGGACCAAGGCCTGAGTCACTGATAATCCGTCCCTGATAAAT